GATACTGGATGTCAGCGTTTGGAAGTTTCACAGGTTTCTCAAGTTTAAAATGTCTCAACCTAAATTATTCCGAACATTCCCTACTCTGTTTCCAGGGTGCATTTATTTCTCCTGACATGGCCTCCACTTTTATTGATGACCCCATTATTAATTTTTACTCCCAAGCCTAAAGCATGAGTATAAACCTTCAAGGCTTTGTCCTGTTGCCACCTACCATATTTAAACCTCCCTCTTTTGAGATATTATACTGGCCAGTTAAAATAGCTCTTCTCTTCACTTCAAGGGTACTGGATTTTACTTGATCAATAATAAGTCATTGGGTTGGTCCTTGTGGACCACTCCATTCTACGTGATTTATACCAGAGTTGTAAAAACTGCTCACTTTTCCTTGAACAACTCACGTGATTTTACCATTCTAGTCCTTTACATGGAATTATCTTTCTTATTTGCTTGATTTTGAATTTGTGTTTATTCTTTATATTCAATTAAAATTTTCAACTTTTACTCCTTTTATTTTCTTTTTTCAGAACTTCTAAGTACAATTAAAAGTGTCCTTTTCTGTGTTCTTTAATGTATTTTGATCATAAGTAGTTGTAGGCCTTATCTCATAGTTATGATATTTGTCAGCATGCCTATAATCCCTGTTATACTATTGACCCATAGACAGCTGGAACTTTCTTATTTATTTTGGCTTACCTGATTCCTTTCATAATATAAGACCTATAAATGTGGATAGATGAGTGAGTTACTGAAATACAAAATAGCTCAGGAATAACTCATTCGATGAGCTAAGGAAATACTTTTTTATTCTATTCTGTTTCTTTATTTCAAGACTAAGAAGAAGTGTTCTCCGTTATGATCCTTAATATCTTTCTGTTGCTGGGCTTTTGCTTTCCAATGATAACCCGGGAGTATTACACAATGAGATGCTGTTGTTCTTTGTTTAAGGAGTGAAAGTGTGGGAATGAAGCTGAATGTTATCACTACCCCCATGACTGGTGAGGGAAATGAAGCTTAGTGTGGTAGTGGCTTACCAAGCTAGAAAAAGTGAATCAGAATCAGAGCCCTGACTGGTGCCACAAAATCTGCACTATTTCCTGCTACTCTCCGTGGCTCTGCTAAGAGCAATGACTGAAATAAACTTGGTCTTGCCTATGCTCAATTTCTCCCCTAAGGTAAACCAAGATTATAAAATTTCATCTTGTTTTTTGCCCCTCTTTCAGTTCCCTACTTAGACTGAATCCACTTCATTGTAGTTTCTGAATAATCTCTGAGAAAGTTTCTTTTTTCAGGACATGTTTGTGGTACACAATGAATACACTGATGATGGGTAGTAGTTGATATGTGCAAATGACACACCTTAATTCTCTTTACATCCCTTCCCCTCTTTTCTTCTTTGCTCCCTCCACCTCTTATTCCTCTTCCAATTTGCAAGAGAAAGATTTCTTAAAGATTATTTTTTAAACTTATTGATAGTAATTAACTTACTGTCTCAGAGAGAAGGCTTGCTGTAAGAAACACAGGTGTCAGAGGGACAGAGAAAGAGAGAGGGGAGAAAAAGGGAGCGAAAGAAGTTTTACAAAAGCTGTAAGAAGCATTCTTTGAGATAACTAGAAACTGTAAATCAGCCACAGTAGGAGAATGAAGAAACAAAATGTGGGCTATATGAACAATGGAATATTATGCAGCTAGTGAACTAAAACTGCATACAACAAAAGGAATGAAACTCAGACACAGTAGTAAGAGAATAGTCAGATTGTATTGTAATATTCCAAAAGAAGGCAAAATAATCTATGGTGATAGAAGACAGGATGGTGGTTATTTTTGTGGGTGAGGAAATTCCTACAGAGAGGGTATAATGGGACTTTTGTGGTGTTAGCAATAGTCTAGGTTTGACTGATTAATTGTCTAATTTGTTTAATCTGGGTAGTGGTTGAACAGAAGTGTTCATTTTGAGACAGTTCATTGAGTTGCCTCTTTTAATTTGTGTTCTTTTCTATATGCATGGAAATGTACACAGATGTACAGTTTTGGGTAACCAGTCGCATACGTCAATTTTGCTGTAGTAAAAGCCAATCTTTCAAATCTCTGTAGTGTGTACAACACATATTCATTTCACTATGGTAGGTAGAATTCTAAGAAGGTCCTTTTGGTCTCTACCTCCTGGTATTACTTTCACGATTATTGTGTAAATGTAATTAAGTTTGTCAGTTGATGCTACTATGGGGAGATTATCTGGGTGGACCTAGCTTAATCATATGAGTCCTTAATCGTATGAGTCCTTTTTCTCAAACTGGAGGTCAGAGATTTTCTGGAGGGGCGTTCGGAGGGCCATTGAGACTTAAATATGAAGGAGACTACAGTGAAAAGACCTAAGCAACTTCTGACCAGCAATTAGCAAGAAAATAGGACTGTAGTCCTGCAACCATAAGGAAATCATTTTGCCAGCAACTAGTGAGCTCAGAAGAGAACCTCAGGCCCAAGAAGAGAGCAGCTGAAGCCTTAGTTTTAGCCCACTGACTCACCTGAGTAGATAATCCAATAGTCCTATGCCCAGACATGACTTACAAATACTGTGAAGTAGCAAATTTGTGTTATTTTCAGCTGCTATATGTGTGATATTTTTATACAGCAACAGAGGACTAATATGCACTTCTTCAGGAGTCAGCACTGTGGAGGTTCCACTCTGCCTCGCATGCCTTCGTGCTCGGTGGCCCGCATGGAGGGAGCTTCCCTGCTGGACCACGACACAGCAGGAGAAGTGCAGCATGAGGGGACAAAACCCCATGCTGCCTCTTACAGAAAGTGGTATTAATCACATCCACTCAGCTCCAAGGATCAAAAAGCAGCTCACATGCCCATGGCCAAAGTCAATGAGGCAAGATGCATTACCTTCTTGTAAGAAAAAGGAGATTGAATAATTTTGAGAAATAATACAATATACCATCATAGAATTTTATAACTATGGCTGATTGGAAAAAGGAGGGTCTCTGGAGCTAGAAAGGCTTCAGTGTGGATCTGGTGTCCCAACCTTACTGACTTTGTGAGAATTTAGATAATCTCTCTGGGTTTTAGTCTCTTCAGTGGTAAATATCGGCCTTACAAGGATGGAGTAAATGTTAAATAAATGAGTTCTGTGCCTGATGTATATTCTAATATGTACTTGATAAATATTATCAATTGGCCTCTCATCTTAAAGATTAACTGGAACAGAAGCCACATCTATATACATCTCTTTTCCCTAATTTTTCTAATAAAACTATGGTAAAGTCCCACAGGCACAGTATCTTTACATCCTATATCATTTTGAGCAGTGTAGTAACAAATCATTTAGAGTAAAAAGAAAAGAGTATTACTCCTCTGAATGGGATCATTAAATGAAACCACATCAGAATTGGGATTACATTATATAATTGTCTTTTTAAATTGATGGTTCTTTAACACCTATTCTTGGCTTGGGAAAACGCTGTCATAATGCCATAGTTAGTACAGGTGAAAAACTGGCCAACTCAAACAGTAATATTTTTTCCTTGAATTGTTTAGACTTTATAATTTGTCCAGATGATTTAAAAATTTATCTTAGGTCTGTAGTTCACAATATCCCTTTAAGAATAACCATTATTAGCTGGGGATTTAGCTCAGTGGTACTGCCGCCAGCCTTGCAAGCACAAGGTCCCAAATTTGATCGCCAGTACCAAACAAACAAACAAACAAATAAACAAAATGAATAACTGTTATTAGTTGTTACCTGTTAATTCTGAATCCACTACTGAGAGGGTTTTTGACTATTTGTCATTGCACAAATAACATGCGCGCACACATACACAAACACACAATGAAATCAGTGTATTTTAGTCAGAAGAAGAAAAAGGTGAAATCACTCCAAATCAGACTGCTAACTACAGTCAACTTTGGTATGCATTCTTCTGTTTTTTTTCCACTCCTTGAATAGGTAGATAGGTAGGAAGGGGGCTGGGTGTCAGGCATACCATACACACATAAGTGTGTCTGTACTTCTGGGCACTTTATATATTTCTTTTACAAAATGACTTTGTATCTTATATTCTACTTTCTAATCTGCTTTTTCATCTGGTTATATGCACACATGCCATTGTTTTAATGTTTTTGCAAATATTTTTCAGCCAGTATCTTATTGTTGGATATTTAGATGGTCAATTTTCTATTATTCAGCATTTTTTTTTTTTTTTTTTTTTGGTACCGGGGATTGAACTGCCCGGCCCTGTCATTCAGCATCTTAAACAGTAGCTCTACTTCTGCAGTCCATGCATACAGATTAGAAGGTGCCAGAGCGTCGTGCTTAGCAGGGTACCAGCCAGGTCTCAGTTCCGCACATGCCCACTCACCTGTCTGATTGGATCCCATAGTTGGGAAACCTGCCCTTACATTTCCAAATGTATATTGGAAATGTTAAAAAACAAGAAGCATAGCATCTCCCTCAGAATGCATAGCTTCCCCTGACATTTCCAGACATTTTGTGTTATCAAGTTCTGCCAGATGGTGTGTAAAAGGATCTACATCTGGACTACTAACTGCTCTTTCCAAGACTGTCTTTCTGACCGTTTATATCCTTTGTAAGTGTGTCAAAACTGGGAAAAGTGCTCTAGACTCTACAAGTCACAGATACTCAAGGTCCTGTGGCTAGGGTTATCACAGAAGTGCCCATGATAAAAAACTCAGATGTTGCCTATTTTTCTTCCTAAAGCAAGAGTTGAAAAATCAACCTTATGTTCTGATTCTTCTTTTGCCTCTGACCAATGAAATAACTGCTCATAATGTACTCCAAAGAACTCACAATAATGATTCACAAATGTCCTGAATTTGGCCATTGTTATAGAAGCATGACTGCCTTTATGGGGCAAACAATTACATATTATTATCTTTTTTCCATAAAAGGAACGAAATGGAAATCTTCATCTGCCTTGGTTAAGAGCTCCCTTGAACAGACGGGAAAGGCAATTACCAGGAACATGGACACTGACCTCTTGCCTGGTTGCCCAATCTCAGCCTTGCATGATCTCTTCCAGGCCTCTGTCTGCAGCTCTTTTCTTGAATGTGTTATTGTTGGTCTCTTTAGGGAGCAGCTGTTAAAGAAAAAGGAAGATTATTTTCAATTGGTTAGGAAAATGCTCCAACAAAAGAATTAAATGAGGTAATTAGCTACCTTCTACATGTAAGCTGCAGCACTGCTGCTGAGCTACCAGGCTGCAGTGCTTGAGGAAAATAATGACCTTCCCCGTGTAAGGCAGTCACCACGGCCACCAAACATCACAGGTAAGGCCACCCTCTCCTCTACCCTGCAAAAGGTGGGAGGTGGCATGACTGAAAATTTATCTGAAGGTATCTCTCATTTTGGGAAAACTTTTGAAAATGGGGACCACTTTTTGAGTGGGAGGGCTATATATAGCCATAAGGAAACCATGTTTTGTAATATAACGTGTCCCTTTATTTTTTTTTCAGCTTTAATTGGGTTTATTGGTACATTTTAGGGATACAGTACAGTTACATTCATTGTTGGGATCTTGTACCTCTACATGACAAGTCTTGATTCTCATTTTTTCCCCTTACCCCTGCCCTCCCTTCAGTGTCCCTTTAAAAAGTACAAAGGTGAAAGATTTGTGGGGTGGTATTAGTTGGTAATTAACTTTTACTGTGTATAAGAGATATTCTTATGGTTTATGCTACAGCATTAGAATGCCCAGATCATGCTATTCTGGTGAGCCTGATGTCTACCAGGACTCCCAAAGTTATCAGGCTTCATAAACTCAATCTGCATTTATGTGATGAGATGATATCCCTTAGATATCCATCCCTTAGATACTTTGGACAAGATATTGTGCACAATTGAAAAAAAAAGAACACACAAATGGACAATTGGAAAATTGCACAGAAGAAGGATGAAAAAGGAACATCAGGGCATTAGCTATAAATTAGCTGATAGCTCCAGTCAAGAGATGGGTGATAATGTAGCTGGGATGGTGTCTCTTTATGTTCACCTCAAAGGAAGATTTGAATATGGGAAGTTGGTGGATTTTCTGCGAGTGTGACAATGGTTGGCGTCAGCGAAGGAAAAAATGATCAATATGCAGGGTCAAGTACAGTAAGAATTGGCTGAAGAGTTTACTTAGAAGATGTACATCGTGGGACACAGAGGACAAGAGTTACAAAGAGTAGCGAGGGAAATGAAAAAGTGGAAGTGCTAAGAATCTCTTACATTTTGGAACTCTTCAACTCCCTGGTTTCTTACCTCCTACATTTCTGTCTCAGGTCTAACACTAGGAAGCCTCTGCTCACCACCCGAGTGAGACGATGTCATCCAGGCTCTTCTAGCTGTTCTCCACACCATAAAGGTCCGCAGATGCATAAGAGTGCCTGCCTTTCCGTCCACTAACTCTGAGTCTCAAGATTCAGTGACAGGCCTGCTTTCTTCCCTAGTTTGGTTTAAGGAACTGCAACAATGTCTGGACCATAGTAAGTGTTAAAAAAAAGTGTGTCGAATAAATAAATTGCAGAAGAAAGGTGCAGAGTTGATAAGCAGAGAGGAGAGCTTTCCAGAGAGGGGCAGATTTGTGGGTATGACCAAAGCCCTCAGCTGGAGCCCTGAAGTGGTGCGGGAGCTTAAGGAAGCACCACAGAATGCCAGAGATCGGCAAAGATGGGGCTTGTGGGCTGTTACGGATTATACCTAGATGTTTCCCCCATAGCCTCATGCACTTGTAGGTGGGGCTTTCTAGAGGTGACTGGATCATGGGGCATGGTACTCATGTGGATTCATGTACTCTAAGTTTATTAATGAGGTGCTGGGAAGTGGAATCTGGTCAAAGGAGGAAAGTCAATGAGGGTGTGGCCTGGAAGGATGTATCTCCCTCCTCCTTCCTTGATCTCTGCTTCCCTGCAGCTATTCCATGAGCAACTTCCCTCTGCCATGCCTGACTGCCATGCTGTTCTGCTTTGAAGCCAGGTAGCCATGGAATGAAATTTCTACAAACTGTGAGCCAGAATAAACTTTTCCTCCTTTAACTTGTGGGTGTTAGATATTTTGTCCCAGTGATGAGAAAAGACTAAGACAAGGGTTGACCATAAAGAACCCAAAAAACCATGTGAAAGAGATCAGAATTTGTGTTGACTGAAGACAAAAACAGGAAAGTTGGGAAAGGATTATTTACATTGTATGTTTAGAAAGAGTTATTTTGCTTCAGGTTGGAAAACAGATTAGAGCAAGACCTGCATGGATGAAAAGAGCCTGTTTAGAAAACTTCGAGAAATCTATGGGTGGTATTTTTTTTGCATTGAAACATAGGAGACAAAAGGCAGGAGAGACAGTGGATGGACTTAAGAAACCTTTCAAAAGTAGAATCGGTAGAACTTTGATATATGTTAAAAGATAAGGAAGAAAGAGGACTCAGGATTGATACCTAAGTTTTAGGCATGAACAAATAGATACCCTATAGTACTACTCACTAAGATGGGGAAGGTAGGAGGAGAAGTACTCTTTAATTTTTATAAATTATATTTTATAAAGTTTAAAGTTGATGTGTCTATGCAATATCCAAGAAGAGACATCCAGAGACAGGTATGTACTTTTTTGTTTGTACTGAGGATTAAATTCAAGGCTTTTGTATTAAGCTACATCCCCGACCTGTTCCTGGTTTTTATTTTAAGACAAGGTCTTGTTACAATGCCCAGGCTGTACTCCAACTTTCCTACCTTAGTCTCCCAGAGTGCTGGATTACAGGTGTGCCACCTTGTCAGGCTGAGACAGACACATCTGGACAGATCAAGTGGATGACAGGGCTGGAGACTTGCGTCATTGGCAGAGAGGCGGTGACAAGCATTGGAGGAATTGATGAGATTGCTCACAGGGATATAAAGAGGGAAGAGAGAGGAAGACTCAGAACTCTGAAGAACAGACACATTTTTTGAAAGGACAGAAGAAAGAAGCCTGAAAGGAACAGTGCAATGTAACAGACTGAGGGTTAAAGAAGTGTGGCAGAAGCTAAGGGAAGTGGTTTAGAGACCAAAATCTCCAAAAGTTAGGGCAACAGTAGACAAATCTATTAAATTTAGCATCAAGGACATGGTTGGTCACATTGACAAGAACAGCTTCAGTAAAATTTGGGGCACAGAAGTTATATTGTATTGGTAGTGAACAAAGTAAACACCATGAGTATATAGACAAATATTTCAAGAATTTTGACTGAAAGGAGACAAGCTCTTTCACGGTTTTCAAAATATTTAATATTTCTAGGAAGAAATAATTGGCAATTAGTAGTGGTCTAAGGAAGAGCAAAAAGATCCCCAAGAGCCATGGATAATTCCAATGCCTTGGAGATGGCTGTCCCACAGACATAACAGAGGAAGGTGAGTTTGTTGAGGAAGTTCAGTTTTAACGGATGTGTCCGATGATATTTTGCCAACTGAAAATATACAGAGGCACTGTGACTGAGCCTACTGTGAATGCATTCCACTGAGTCAACCCCAAAGTACCCCAGTTCAAGGGAAAATTGCCTTCCATGAAACATGTTCCTGGTGCCAAATAGGCTGGGAGTTTCTGTACACATAATGGGGAAAGCTGTGTTTTTGTGAAGAGAGGAATAAAAGCAAACAGAGGACAAGAAATTGTTTTGACAGAAAATATATTAAAGTTAATTTTGGATGTGTTGAGTTTCCCGGTATGACATCAATGTTGAGATATATGAAAGGCAGTTGGAAATGTTATTCTGGCTTCCAATGAGAGCTCTTGGTTAACAAAATCAACTTGAAGTTATCCATATAGAAATGATAAATGAAGCCATGAAAATGGATAGGACTGAGCAAAAAACAGAGGGGGACAGAGCCATGCTGGTAAGGGTAACACGTAATCACCATGTGGCAAAACCTGAGACCCCAAAGGATCAGCAGGGGTAATGAGGCAGTGGGTGCACATCTAGGAAGTACATTATGGGCGCAGGTGATCAGATGAATTTTACCTATGTCTTGCTCATTGACTCAGCTCAGCATCCCAAGCTTGGGGCAATTTTTTCACACCAGCAGTATCTAAAATCTCTTAGTCAGTGCTTAGAAGAGCAGGTATCTAGTAAAGGGCTCTCACTGTAGTTTGAAAGGGTGGCAAGATTGAAAGAACATTCTTTAGAAGAAGGAATAAACTTGACTCCCAACAGTCTGGGAGGCTGAGGCAGGATGATTGCAAGTTCAAGTCCAGCATGGGAAATTGAGTAACTCAGCAGGACCTTGTCTCAAAATAAAAAATAAAAAAGGGGTGGTAATGTAGCTCAATGTGAAGGCACTGGGTTGGGTTCAATCTCCAGTACCAAAAGTGTGTGTGTGGTAGTTATTTCTTTTAAACATTGCAGAGCCTGGAGGACCAGCTGAAAGTGGATAGCACGTAAACATACACACAGCACAGCCAGTTAATGTACTGTTTTCCTTAGCTGTCTAGGGACAGTGGCAGCACTTAGAACATTCTGGGAAGGTGTTAGGAGAGTTAGTGGGGTAGGAGATCTAAGGCAGCCTCTCGCTCCTGTTGAAACCCACTCCTTGTCTTGTTTCTGAGGAAACCATACCACCATTTGTTCCGTTGCTCCTTGTAAAAGTCTTGGAATCATCCTGGATTCTTCTCTTTGTATAAACCCTCGTTAAATAACCCCCAAGTTCTACCCATTTCTCCTAACATGGACAGTGGCCCATCTTTGCTGTCACCATCTCCCTTGAAGTCACTATCATTCTTTTGTCCCGACTACAGCCTTGTCCTCTATCTACTGCCCTAAACCATTCCTGCTCCACTTTTTTTATTCTTTGCACTGTAGGTAGAGTGGTTTAAAAACCCACATCAGCTATCACTTCGCCCTTAGAAGACCCTTAAAAACTTTCTCATTGCTTTTAGGACAAAGATCAGAATTCTTCACACAGCCAACAAGGTCCCCATGATCTAGCCACTGTGACATCTCCCGAATCTCTGTATTCTGGGTCCATAGTCCTCTTGTTCCTCACAAATATAACATGGTACATGGCCAGCTGAGGCAGAGTTGGGGGCGGGGAGGACTGTGCCATATAATCAGATGTCAGTAGGAAGAGAGGTCATTGG